TGGTTACAGAGTAGAACTCAGGTTCACATTTGTTACAAGTTTTCGCGTTGTGCCTCAGCCGCTGCTAGTCCGACTATCGGTGATGTCAGGGAAACCAACAAGGTTGTCTGAACCCTCAAGAGTCAGTATGTTGATGCTAGATTTTGGCCATTGAAGGGTTCTCAACGCATCCTTGGAATGCCTGATGCATCCTATCGCAACAACAGTGATAAGTCTAGTCAGCGTGCACATCTCATTTTCTTAGCTGAAGACCGCAAATTGCCTTCCAAGGGAACATACCGCAATTCCGGTTATGACAAGCAAGCACACCGTATAGACGGTTCCCACTCAGCAACCCGTGGATCGATTATTGACTATGAGAGTCATAAGATAACTACTACAACACAATCCACTACTGTTGCCGAATTGAATGCCTTAATGAAATGTTTTGGAACCTGCTTGTTTTTGCGTGCACTTTGGGCCGACATCAGTGGTGAGATCGTCCCCGTTCACATTAGAACAGACGCAAACAACTTAGTCACCACCGCTCAGACAACACACCTGCCTGAACAGAAAGAGACCCATCATTTAATACAAATGTTGAGACATGAAAGTAACACCGGTCACTTAGACGACTTGAGTCACATTGCGAGTGAATATTGTCTGGCTGATCCACTTACCAAATCAACCGCGAAACCAGACCAATTAGTGTCGTCTATAACCACTGGCAAACTTGAAAATGTTGATGTACATCCGCCATTCCGGTCGTTACTGAAACATAAAACGTTCTTGACTACATGGGTCATTGAAACTTTGTCTGAGCCACACAATGTTTTGACGTTTTTCTGTGAAGACATTTCGCATTATGTTTTTGCAATGATGTACTTCGAGGAGTAAATTTTCGTCTCAAGAAAATTTGTGTCTGCAATCTCTCGGCTCACAGGGTTCATATGGCTTTTTCTTTCTCGACGCCCGGACAAGAACGTCCCTTGGCACTGTTCGCAGAAACCCTTAAGCCAATTCTGGAGACACCTCGAAGATCCCCTTTTTGGAAAAGTCACAGCTGGAAAGAAGTGACTGACCTTTTATGCCTCCAAGATTCTCTAAGCACAGCCGAACCGATCATTCCGCTTCTGCGGACTTTACGCCGCGTGGCTATCGCAGCCCTCGTGGTCAACGACCTCAGCATGCACCGCGTGGCGGTCGCCAAGAACGTCCTGACAGAAGACAGCCGCGTGATACCAGAAATTACGAAAATCGTAGTCGGGCCATTGATGATGCATTTCACGCTCCTCTTGATTCTGTCCAGCTCAATAGTTTCACTTTTTCTCAGTGCATTGCACAAGTCCTCCGGAAACAATCCGGAATCAAGACCAAGGAGGACCACGATTCCGCATTAGCGGATCATTATTTTGAAATGGCATCCCGTCACATGTCTTACATATTTCGACATACGAATTTGATGCATCGTGACGGATCATTGTCCCTGCATGAGCTCCTTTATCACCAAGGCACAGCCAGAAAAATACGATCTTTGTATCGTGAAGGCATGAGATCTCTTCAAATTTATGATGAAGATGAAATTTCGATGCGCCTTAGAAGCAGGGATAACACTATCAGGTTTTTGATGCCTTTGGCCCATGTTATTTGTGATTCAAATAAGGCCAGGGCAATGATTGGCTACTTGAGCACTGATGATTTTCAACCTGGTATTACTCCGGTCCCGGATAACTGGTTCAAGACTGCCGATTTTGACAATGACACCGCTCGTGAAGCTCAGGCCAATATCCTTGAAGGTGTTGACATTGCAAGCATTTTTATCCGTTTTGAGAGTGGTCATTCCGCTGATGTTGAAATTCAACATTGTCCATTTATGCCTGACATGTTTTCCCTGAGGTACCTTATCCACGGAACAAGAGGTTTTTCGCCCAACGTGGTGATAACTCTTCATTTCCTGAATCTAAAAAACCGTCTGCCTGAATGCAGGCTATGCGGTTGTGGGGGTCACTTGAAGTATGGGTCTCAAATGTCAACAGTGTAATTTCAAACAGTTAACATCTGTCTTGCAACGCTTTTCTTCGATGTGTTTTCTTCAGACTACTGTGCTTTCTTGTCATTGCTTCTCTTGGGTACATGTCAATGACGTTAATGTTTTCCCACAGTTTATGTTCAAGAGGTGGGTGGGTGGGTTTCGCGTTTTTTATGACGCCATGTTTGAAATTTGCTGAGTAGGGGTCTGCGTATGGCCGAATTTTTCGACGTGGTGATCAAGGACGTTGAACTGTACCAAACTGGAGCTGGAGCAGATACATCTGAACCTGTTTCAGCGGCGAATGCAAACAAACATGGTGCAACTGCAAATGCAAACAACGACAGTCTTGTTGATTCTTTGACAGTTTGGAGCCGTACGCATACAGATGTTCAACACCCAACCGACAGATTTGATATTCCTGATTTTGATGATTTTTCGCATGATGCTCAGGTTGATACTGCATTGCATGAACCTGTGGACGAAGGTGCAGCATGGATTGGCCAACAGGTTGATCGGGCTTTGCAGGAGGCGCATTTTGTCAACAGTCGGAACCTCACTCAGTCACTGCCGTGGGAATCCGGTGTTTTTGCAACAATTTTTGGAAGCAATGAAGATTTTTTGGCATCCAATTTGACTTCATGTCCTTTGCCTCCTGACCTCGAGGATGCACAACCAACTGAGTCAAGTGTTGATGCTTTGACACGTGTCTCAAGTAAAATTCTGAAACGTGACCGCACTGACTGCATTTTTTCACAGGTTGTCAAGTTGAAACGTGATGTGGATCATCTCACATCCATAGAAGAGTCATGGGCGAAAGCGCTGAAGAAGTGGCACACAGTTTTGGCATGTGCTGGCTATACAGGTTTAGTTGGTGCGGCAGTCAGGGATGCAGTGAGTGATGGAAAGGACTATGGTGGTATCCTCAGGGATGTGTTTGGCAATAAATCGCCGCGCACTGCAAACAAACGGGCATCTACCATGTTAGCACTCTTTGCATGGTTGGACAAGAAGAATCTCAGTGTGTGGCCAGTCAGATCTGATTATGTTGCAGCTTACCTGAATGAATCAAGTGTGAGCGGCGCTGGCAGCACCAAGGGCAAAACACTGATGGAAGCCTTCCGTTTTTGCAAGCATGTCATGAGGCTGCCGGATCTGGATGAGATCATTGATGATCCTGTGCTGTCAGGTAGAGTGAGGCGCATGGATGCAGCAAGGGACACAATCAAGCAGAGCCGACCGCTGACTCTTGCTGAGGTCAGATTCATAGAGGAGTTCATGATGTCAGACATGAATGTTTTCGACAGGTACATTGCTGGTTGTGTCCTGTTTGCAATTTACAGCCGGTCAAGATGGTCGGATTTGGCATTCCTAAGTGACCTGGCTTTGGATACGACAGAAACGGAGCTGGGTCGAATTGGTTTTGTGGAAGGCTCAACAAGATTTCAGAAGACTGGCTCCGCTGCCTTGAAGCGGGCGATGCAGATGCCGCTGGTGGCACCCATTTGTGGGGTGACGGACAAGCTCTGGGCAGTTGAGTGGTTTCACATTCTGGATCAGGTTCAGTTTGATCTAGCGGCAGAACCAGTGGGAGCTATGTGCAGACCTCCCATGAATGGCACATTGGGCACTCGACATTTGTCGTCTGAAGAGATTGGCGATTTCCTCAACCATATGTTGGGGCTGCATGGTGAGAATGTGGTTACAAGCCACTGCATGAAGGCCACAACGCTCACCTGGTGCGCGAAGTATGGTTTGGATGAATCTGCAAGAACGTTGCTAGGCCATCATGAGTTGCAGTCTCAAAGCTTGGCCTGCTACTCCCGTGACATGCTCAGTAGGCCCCTGGCGTTGTATGAAGCTATGCTGCTGAACATCAGAACTGGTCATTTTCTTCCAGATGAGACAAGGTCTGGCCGGTTTGTGAGGCGCAAGCCAGATGATGCAGTTTCTGTTTCAGATGCTCCTCCAAGGTCCCGCGTGAAGGTCGAGGCTCCTCCCAGTGCTTTTGGATTTGATGACCAACATTGTATTGACAGTGTTTGTGGCGTTGTGGATCTTACAGAGCCTGAGTGGGACCTTTTTGGTGCGCCTGGCAGTGAGGCAGAGGATGATCGTGCTGTGCAAGCTCGAGAGTCATCAGATGAGTCGAGCTCAACTTCATCAAGCTCCTCTGCGTGTGAAGAACCGTTGCAACAGAAGTACGGTGCTGATGGCGAGACCAAGGACTGTGAGGAGCCGGTATACCAGCACAAAAAGAGCCGGGTCTTGCACAGGCCTAACAAAGTGTCTGGCTTGATGGCGTGTGGCAGGAAGGTTGGCAGTAGCTACAACTACTTGGAACATGGGGCATCTTTCAAATGGGCACGGTGCGCCATTTGTTTCAAGGGCGAGGTCATCACCAAGGTTCAGGACCTTGCCGAAGCGTTGGAAGCTGTTCATGCCAAGCGACGTGCTCAGAAGTGAAATTTTATTTGCAGTATACTGACCTCTGATTTCATGCATGTTGTTTCATTCCTTTCAATTGTGCACCCTGTCGACAGACATAGGGACCCTGCGTAACAGCAGGAACTGGTTTGCATTTCAGCTGTGGCTTGGAAAATTGTGCGTGGCAGCTCTCAGAAAGAGCACTGAAATGTCAGTTGAATTTGTGAGTGATCAGATGTTTCTTGAGAATGCTCAACCGACATGATGTCGGATGTGCCGTGAATGCACGGTGAAATGGACTCATCTTTTGGAGTCATGAGAGAACACATGTTTGTATCTCATTGCAGAGCTATGGCCACAGCTCAAAGTGCGAATGCGCACAGATGTGTCAAGCCTCAGCATTGTCACAACTCAATGTTCATTCATTTTGTGCGACATGGCTTCATGAGATGCTTTCACTGTCTTTATTTTTTTCTCACTGCATGATTAACTTCAATGATTTGAATCTTGTTGCTGATGAATCCAACATCTTTCTTTTACTGCCCCCTAGATCGTGTGCGTCAGAATGGCTAGCAATACTTTGCTTGAATCGGTGGCGGCGTTTGAGTCGCAAGCCAAGCGTGCTGGCCTCAATGAGCAGTGGATTGAAGCATTTGGCCGGAATGATCTCAACAAGTTAGGGCGTTTGGCATATGCAGTGACAACGCCTGGTGTCGCTCCTACAACTGAACAAGTGACAGAGTTCATGAATCATTTGCGTTTTGGTGTGGGCCCTACACTCAGTGAGATAACAGCTGTGAAGCGTGTGTTGTTTGAAGCACAGACTTTGACCATTGCAAGCCTACGTTCAACTGTGCACTCACCTGATGATGCCAGCACACGTAGGGTAGCACCTGCTGAGCGATCTGCAAGAATTGAAGCCCAGCGTCAGCGACTTCAAGGTTTGGAATTGTCTGGGCCTATGGAACCAAGTCATTGGCTGTATGATCAGTTTTCGGCCATGCTTGAGACTGGTGAGCTGAAATACATATCTCCAGGCAAATGCATGACGCGTCAACAGGAACTTTCAGGTGACAAGCCGGACAAGCAGATCAAGCTGGACGAGACGCGCAGCAGCTTGGTGGTAAAGGACAAACCACATGATCAAGAGACAGACATCACCAGTGACCTCAGTCTGTTGCAAGCTATGACACGTCGTGCATTGGCCATGGATTTGGTGGGCATGGCATCTTTCAATACAGTTATGAAGTTTGTGAACCGATTGTTTGCACTGTTGACCCAGTCACCTGCTCCTGGTTTTGGCCGTCCAGGGCATGCGCAACTTTTGCGCGCTGACAGGCAGGCTTTCATGAGGCTGGCAGAAACAGTGCCACCGCCTTACCATATCAATGCAGCTGGAGTATTACCACTTGATTTAGCATTTGACCAGTTGCACAATGATGTCACTGTGACATATCATATGCTGCCGGTGCCCTTGGGACGCCAACGTGATGATGATAAGACTTCGAATGCGGCCAGTACAAAGACTCCCCCAACCAAGAAAACGCTCAACAAGACTGGAGGTGCCCCTAGCTCCAAGGGCAAAGGGGGAGGCAAAAACAAGCGGCAGCCGATGCCACAGCAGCTTCATGGGATGCATCACAAGACGCCTTCGGGAAAAGCAATCTGTTTCAACTTCAATTTGGGCAAGTGCAAGGATAAAAAGTGTCCTCGTGAACATGTGTGCTGTATGCCAGGGTGCTACAAGAACCACCCTCAGACAGAACATGAGGGCCAATGAAAACAGGCTGGCAGAGGATCCAAAAGGGACTTTGTGCAATGCTCTACGACAAACAATGAGCCTAAGATGCCAGCTAATGATGGAGCAACGCACTATCCTGTCAAGATACCTCTTGAAGGCTGTTTCGGTATTGAACTGTTTTGCGGTACAGCTGGCCTCACTGCGTGCATCAGGACACTTCTCCCTGATAGTTTTGGAATTGATCACAAAGTGAAGCATCCCAAAAGTCAGGTGATTTGTTTGGATCTTCAGAAACCTGAAGTTCAAGAGATGGTCATGCAATGGGTGTCAGATCCGAGATGCGTTTGGGTCCATTTTGGGATCCCATGCGGTACAGCTTCTCGTGCACGGGAGCGTAGGATGTCAAAGACACATTTTGGGCCACGGCCGATGCGGTCAAAGCACTTCCCAGATGGACTACCTCCACATTTGCTAAGTCAGAATTCGCGTGACGACTCCGGGCGGCCAACAGGTTGTATCACTTCATGCAGAAGCTCATTTTGAGCTTGCCATCCACAACAGTTTGGACCATTGAGAATCCGTTGCGAAGCTGGCTTTGGCAAACCTCGTATTTTCAGCAAATCCAGGAGCAGACCAAGGTTTTGTTTTTTCAATTTGATATGTGTATGTTTGGTGGCAAACGACTGAAGCGCACTGGCATTGCCACCAACTGTGAAAACCTGGGTTCTTATGCAATTCAATGTGATGGTTTACATGAGCATGCACCTTATGAATTTCGCGATGGTCAATTTGACACTGCTTTGGAAGCTGAGTATCCAAGGAATTTCTGTGAGGTTTTGGTGCGTGGTGTGGCAGAGCATTTACAGAAACTCCATCAGTGGGGTCCTTTAGACCTTGCCAAGCGTGTAAAACTTGCACGGTCGGCTGCAGTGGCTACGAATCAGCAGCCAAAACGTATGCCACAGCTTGTGCCTGAATTTCAAAAGGTACTACAAGTACGTCATGTGCCCAGGGCTGTCGATATTCCTTTGGATTCAAAGCGTAACACAATGCAATGCCACAGTTTTCTATGTGACAATGATGAAATTTTCATTCCATGCCAGACTCGTATGCTTCGCCGCACTCCTCAAAAGGGGTGTACCAGTTGCGGCGACAGCACTGTTGCCTTAGACTTGCTGCAGGCGAATGTTACACAAAGTTTGGGTGATGGCATGACGGCAACAGAGGACAAAACTGACAAGGACTGCAACCAATGTGCAGGGGTCCGGCGGGTGAAATGTGACAAGGAGATTGAATCGGATGAAATTATTTTTGGCCGTTTTTGGTCGCCTGAATTTTTCTTGGAACAAGTTGCACTTGCGGGACACCCTCAACACCTCATGTCTGGGATTTCGGATGTTATGCAGGTTGCGGTTGATGCCAATGTACACTGGTCTTATCATGATATTGTCATTCACAGATGCAAATGGTTTGGCAAGTACCTGCCAATGGCTGCGGCTTTGAAAGAGAAGGAAGCTGCCATCTTACAAGACATGCCTGGCCCCATGAGGAGCATCATGTCAGCAAAGCGCATTGCTTTATTGGAGCGGATCCTGCAGGACGAGGGGTATCCTGATGTTGGCCTGGTGCAAGATCTCAAGCGTGGCTTCGACTTGGTGGGTGAACTGCCGACTGCTGGCGGGATGCTGCCAGCGAAACTTGTTCCTGCTACTATGGCGGTGGGTGAGCTTGCCCCTAATGCTGGCAGGGCTCGTGCTGCCATGAGGACTGCTAGTGCGTCATGTGGTGATCCAAACTTGGATGAGATGCTTTACCAAAAAACCCTCGATGAGGTGGAGAGGGGCTGGCTTCTTGGCCCCCTACCCTGGGATTCGCTGGAGCCGAATGCGGTCGTCTCAAGGCGTTTTGCCTTGCAGCAGGGTGAGAAGCTTCGTCCTATAGATGATTACAGCATGAGCTCAGTGAATGCAACAGTTACGGTCAAGGACCAGGCTACAGCTGACAACGTGGATGTAATCTGTGCTATGATGTTGCAGATCATGACTGGGCTGCGCAGTGTTGGACGGAGCACGGAGTTGAAAGCTCGCTCTTTTGAGTTAGCTGCAGCCTATCGGCAGTTATGTGTGGCTCCGACATCAAGGGCATTTTCATACATATGTGTCTACAATCCGCGCAAGAGGGCCAACGAGGTTTTCTCGCAAGTTTGCTTGCCCTTTGGGTCAAAGGCAGCGGTGAATGCCTTTATACGATGCTCCAGATGCATACAGTGGCTTGCTTGTAAGTGTTTGCTTTTACCTACAACATGTTACTATGACGATTTTGTGGTCATTGCCACCCCTCAACTGCAGAGCAGCAGTGAGTCTGCCATGAGTTTACTTTTCGAGATGTTGGGGTGGGCATATGATAAAGAAGGGCCGAAAGCAGACACTTTTTCAGAAGTGGTGGCGTCTTTGGGTGTCTCGATTTCCCTGGCCGAGACCATTGCTGGGGAGATCAAAGTTATGAACTATTCATGTACTTGTTCATGTTGTTTTTGAAGATCTTCCTTATGTACTTGTACATTTTGGCTCAAGTACATAAGGCATTCTTATGTTGCTGCTTTGTATATTTTTTCTTCAGAACCAAACAGCGTTTTGATTCGCACTGCATCCACTTGCTGGTTTTTTTTCTAGGCTGTTCATTTCTAGTGGACATCATTCATTTTGCGTTTTATTGCATAAGGTTGGGTCTGTTTTCCAAGTTTCTGTTTACACGTTGATTTCACTTGCCGGGCGATCCTGGGCGCGACGTGCAATGGCTTCAATGGACTACCTGGAGTAGCGGCTTACATGGGGAACTCAGTCACTGGCGTTTCAGATGAGTCTTCACAAATTTCAGATTCAGATTGGCAGCTTGTTTCAGATTCACATGTGGTGCCATCAATTCCCACTCAATTTTCGGTGACTCCTCGACATCCTCCAGATTTGACAGTTTCACTACAGACAACTGGTAATCCATTGTCAGTACCAGCAGTTTCACGTCCAGGTATGATCAACTCATTACCTATGCCTTCCAGGGCCAAATGTAAACCTGCAGAACCACCCAGTGTCATGGAGTGCAATCGACCGAGCAGCTTGATGTTTGACACTACATCCCAGACGGCATGCAGACCCAACCCACACATGTATGAGCATCACCCGCCCGCTCCAGGTGAAAAGAGGGCGAAATTGGCGCATGACAGTGCGGGACCTTCATCAGCGACTGGATTGCTGCGCACTAAGTCACCCAGTTCCATCCCATTTTTGGTGAACCTCTGGACATCCATTTTGGTATCTTTGGGCTCGTTATCCAACGTATTTGCAGACATTGGCAACCATGCAAATTTCAGCAGTTTGGCTAGCATTATTTTGGATGCTTTTGCAGCTTCAACATTGCACCGATATTTGACTTGCATTTCAAAGTTTTTGACTTGGTGCCGTGATTCGGAACTTCCGCTTCCGTCCATCTCAGCTGCCACAGTGTTGGACGTACTTCAAGGCGGCTCCAGGAACTCAGGGATGAAAGGTTCCACTGTTTTGAAATCTTTGCAATGGTGTCGCAAACAAGCAGATGTCCAATCCTGGTCATTTTTGGATTCACCTCTGATTCAGGGCTGGATGAAATCAAAGGTACCCGCAGACCGACGAGAGTCGTTGCCACTCCCGCTTTACGTGGTGGTGCAGTGGGAGAGACGTCTGTTACAGGCCAATGTTCCATTGCGCGAAATTATCATCATTGGGGGCTTTTTACTGATGATTTGGACAGGGCTCAGGTTTGCAGACCTTCAACGGGTAACTATTACATCCATTGTTTGTTCTGCCAATGAAATCAGAGGGATCAGCTGGCGTACCAAGACTTGCTCCAAGGGCCAACCGTGGGGAGCTCGAGCATCAGGTTTCTTATCATTGGGCAGTGTCACATGGTTGAGCAAGTTTGTTTGTGCATGGGATGCGGTGTTAACAGCACAGCCAGCAGGCGACATGGACTTTGTGATACCACAGTTTCAGGACGGTTCAGTGGCACAACCATATCAGCCGATGTCATATCCTTCAGCTCTACATTGGTTTCGTCTTTTTCTGACTATTCCATGGAAAAGTAGCTCATTGACAGCGTCAATCAATGGGGGTTCATACTCCATCCACGGGATGAAGGCCACCCTGCTATCTTGGTCTTCCCAGTTGTGCCATCAAGGCATCATTACTGAAGAGATGAGACGTCTACAGGGGCATCATAAGCCCATACAACATAGCGTCTCACTTTACTCACGTGATGACGTAAACGGGCAGCTGGAACTGCAGCGCCGCTTGATTGCCCAGGTGGTCTCTGGATGGAGACCCATCACACCCCAACACCGGGGAGCACAGATGCCGGCCTCAGAACCAACGGTGGTCATGGAGAGATTTCGCAAAGATTTGGGTGAAATTCAGTTGTCAGTTTTGCATTGGAATTTCTCTGGGTCCCACGACCCTGTTCCTCATGTTGAGTCGTCATCGGCGTCGGAGTCAGCAGGTTCATCTCACTCTTCATCATCTTCGGCGTCATCAACAGCGGAGCAGCCTCAAGCTCAAAAACGTTCTGAGCACCTGCTTGCAATTGGTGTTCACAGATTGGTACATCATGCCATGATTGCATGTACAACCAATACTGCTAGTGTCAGCTGTTGGAATGATGTTCCTGTCCAGACAGCATGCGGTAGGCGTTTCACATCACAACGTATCACATTGCATGATGTTTTCACTCCCCCAGAGGGCAAATGTTGCATGCACCGTGGGTGCCAACAGTGGCTTCATCCTGATCGCGAATAGTGGTCGAAAAACCCCAGGCGCGTATTGCAGCCATGAGAGTCTTTCTTGGGCCGTGATTTCAATTTGCATCAACATGTTTCAGATCAACATTCGATTTTCTTGGGCTTTGTCTTGGATTCATGTGATTCAGCTTGCAGCGGCGCATCATCAATGAATGCGTGTGAAACACGGCTCATTAGTGGCATCCAACCGTGTGAGGTTGGCCATTTCAGAGTGACATACGGCGATCTTAAAATTGGGACATGACATCATCCCCATTCCTCGCAATTTCAATCCACTTACTAGCCATCAACATCATTTGTAAGGTTTGTAAATGTCATCACATAGTTCCCCCCAATTACCTGTCATATATAACCAGGTTTTCCACCTTAGGGGATTACAGTTGTAGGAGTCAATATCAACTGATGTCGAACACCCAACATTTACCTTGGGTACGCAAGTCATGATGACTTCCTAGGGCGTTGAATTCCGGGCGCACCCGGTGGCGTAATTGCCGTGATGGCTTCCTCAGACTTGGACTCGATTTTGTCCCAATCTGGGCTGTCGCCCACTCTGGCTTCGGACTTGATTTCTGCAGGCTGGACAAAAGCTTCATTTGCAATGTGTGCATCCACATCAGCGGACCTAGATCAACACTGGGGTGACCTTTTCCCAGATCAGGAGCTCAGCTTTCTCCAGAAAGCTCAATTGCGCGTGGCATGGCAATCCTGTCAGGACGACCAACGTGTAGAGGAGTCCAACTCAGGATCTCCAAACCCAGGATCCATGATGCCATCAGCGGCAGACCCGCATAGCAGTTGGGCAGAAACCTTTGCCCCCAAGTTGTCAGCCTCAGTGGTCTCCAGCATGAAATCAAAATTTTTGAGTTCATACCCATCAGAGATACTGACTCCAGATACGCTGCCAAGTTTGCGCTTGTTGTCTCAAGTGCACCATCAGCTGCAGAAGAAGGAGGTCAAATGGATCCCTTGGAAGTACAGGCTGAGTCAATCCAGAGCTGAGGAGGTGTCCTCTGGCAGGGGAGCCAAACTCCCCCGACTTGAGGGCCTGTCACTACACAACCTGATCTACGATGAACCACCTTCCATCGAGATCAACAACCAATCAATGGGGATCAATGCTGTGCGATCCATGTTTGATGTTTTCAATGTTGCAGTTGCGTTGGCAGAGGGGGCACACTTGGCACACCTCAAAGCATATAGCTTGAAGTTTCTGAGCTTCCTCACCCAGAGGTATGATCAAGACACGGGGCTGCGTACACCCAACATCATGGAAGCTCAGGCGGCAGACAAACATATTTGGTTCATCATCGGCGAGCTAGTCATGGACAAAAGCTGGACACTGGACCAAGCCTTACATGAGATGACATACATCAGGAGCGACATGGCCATGCTGCTTCAAGCTCGCCCTCGTGTGCTCCGTCCACAGCCAGCTCCTTCCAAAGGTTCAAGCAAAGGTTCATCAACATGGTCATCATCAGCTCCTCCCACTTCCACAACCGGTGGAGGGAAGAAGGGAAAATCCAAAGGGAAAGGAAAGAGCGGCGTCAAGTGGCTGACCGAGGTGACAGTGGATGGTCACAAGAAACAGCTCTGTATGAGATATCAAAATGGTTCCTGCACGTTTCAGGATTGCAAATTTCATCACGGATGTGCATTCCCCAAAGCAGATGGCACAGCGTGCGGACTAGCCCATCCAGCGATGCAGCACGCATCAACACCACACTGACTTTCGACTGCAATTCAGCCTTCGGTCGCGATCGCCATCTCGGATGATGAAGACAATTCAGTTTCAGATATTTCACCCCCACTGGTTGCTCCTCAAGGGAATCAACCCTCATCATCGACACCCATGCAGCCATCGTTTCATCCCTCGAAGCAAGGGGTTTCACCATCCCAAGGCATTTCACCTCATTCAGTTTCACCACGACCAGACAGGACACAACCACCGGAGACACCAACTTCAATCAAGGCGAGCTCAGCTCCCTCCAAAAGTGATCAGAAGCCAGACATTGTTCACTCTGGCAACGCGGGGACCTCATCAAGCAACATCGACTCCAAGCATAACAAATCGGAATTTCCATCCAGGATATTTTTGGACGTTTGCTCTGGCAGCAACCGGCCCCTTTCAACGGCAGTTTTAGCACAAGGGGGTGATGTTTGTTCAGTAGACATTTTGCGATGCAATACATATGATTTGCTCAATGATGAATTTTATTTGAAACTCTTACGTTTGGCAGCTTCTGGACGAGTTGCCTATGCGGCATGTTCACCGTCTTGCAACGAGTACAGTGTGCTCAAACTGAAACCTGGTGGACCTCCACCTCTTCGATCCCATGAATGTTTGGATGGATTCCCTCATTTGACTGCAGATGAATTGACCAGGGTCCAAAACAGCCACACCATGTTGTTCCGATGTTGTGAAATTTTACAGGTGGTTTTCTCAGCAGGGGGGCATGGCCACCTTGAGCAACCCCCGTCGGCGATGAGCTGGTTGGAGAACTGCACTCAGCAATGGCTTGCGTCGGGAGGGGTTTATTGTATTAATTTAGCAGCATGTGCATTTGACCGAAATTGGCCTAAGTCATGGCTATTTGCATCATCGTTTGAACCACTGACAGAGCTTGCTTGCACATGTCCTCATCCGCCAGGACACCACCCAAAGTTGGCAGGTGTCCGCGATGACACCGGAGGTTTTTTGAGTCGCCGAACAGCAGAATATCCAGAACAGTTAGCCAACAAATTTGCATCCATTATAATTCCTTTGGTGAAAGGTTCTTCTATTGATTTTTCAGTGAAAAACCTTTTGCAATCTTTGCCAAACAAAGGCACTTGGGATACGCCGATTTCAAATGTGGATGGCGCAGGGTACCACTCTCGCCCTGACTGGAGTCACCCAGCCTCCATCAAAGATGATGTGTTCAAGGACTTCCGTCAACATTGGATGCAATCAATTTGTAACCTGAAAATGCATACAGAGATTGAGAATCATTTTTCACAGCAGCGACCTGAGCCTCCATTTACGGATGAACTGGTGAACCAAATGCGATCGACGATTGAACAGGTTTTGGCGTCCCACAATTTGCAAGCCAATTGGGACATACCCCAAAATCAACCCCTTTGTCTTCATGTCCTTCAAGCTCTTTCACGCATCATGGACGACCCAGACACTGCACTGTTTCAGCATTTAATTGACGGGGTACCCACGGGTTATTTGCGCAACATTCCAGCATCTCATTGCTTTGAACAAACAGCTGATGCAGATGATGACCCTCCACCATTATCGGTGCATTTTGATGGCTGGAAGTCAGCGCATGATGACCCTGCCATCACAACTGAGTTGGTAGAAGAAGAGCTTCGCCAAGGCTGGGTCTATGAATTTCCTGGGTCATTGGAGGACGCCCAGGCAGCATTTCCAATCGGGGTTTCAGTGGGCAAGCTTGGTGTGGCAACATCAACAACTCGATCACCACGCCTAGTTGTAGACTCCTCCATTTGCGGCCTTAACCAAAATTGTCCTCTACCAGAGAAAGGTTCTTTGCCGTCCGCGAAGGACTTGATTCGCAGCTACCCATTGAGAAACACATCTACTCCGGTCTCTGGACTAAGCTTGGACATCAAGAGTGCTCATAAAAGAGTAGCCATCCACCCTTCTGAACATGGCTTAGTCGGATTTGCGTGGCAAGGCAAGATCTACTTTTATAAAGTTTGCCCCTTTGGGGCCACTTTCTCGGCCCATTGGTGGAGCAGATTGGGCGGATTCTTGCTACGCCTGGCACATCGTCTCTTATTTTTGCCTCACATTGGATTGCTCTACGTTGATGACTTTGTGTTCGTGCAAGATGCAAAAGTTTTGCCTCTATCAGCAGCATTTTTGGTCCTTTTTTTCAGAGCAATCAACCTGCCGATATCATGGAAAAAATGCGAGATTTCTCATACAATCACCTGGATAGGTTGGAAATTCAATTTCTACAGTGGACTGGTTTCAATCCATCCAGACAAGCAAAAGAAACTCATGGAGTTGATCAACTCCCTGCTCAAACACAACCGAGTACCTCTGAAGGTGATTCAAAAAATGGTGGGCCTTGCGATGTGGCTCACACAACTTTTTCCGTTGATGCGAATCTGGCTCCACCACTTGTACATGGACATGCACAAAATTCCAGCAACGCAATTCAGTGTGGACCCTGGCTATTGGCATGAAATGGTCGCCTGTCTTGACACCGATTTAACTTTTCGGTCGAGACCGCCAGGCACCGCAATTCCAATTGGTGGCAAATTACTTGAGGTCAGACATCGTAAGGTCATGACTCTGGATGATGTGCGATCTTCTCTTTTATCTGAACGACGCGTGTGGCTCCGAATCCGGGACCCCACTTCAACTCGCCGCATCCTAGGGCCTGGGTCTATTCGAACCCTTCACATGTTTTCCTCTTGGATGAGTCGCATGGCCCCAATTCGATCAATCTGGCCAGCCACAACACTGGATTTTTATGCTGCAGCAGATGCATGTGCACATGGTCAGATGGCACAAATTGGTGGTTTCATCAACCTTCCTCACTGCACAGTTTGGTTTTCCGAACGTTTTACTCCAAGTGATTTTTATCAACTGGATGTCGAAGTGAACAACAATATGCAACGAGATATAGTCTGTTATGAAACGTTGGCGCAATTGGCCATTGTGAAACTTTTGGCGCGGTGCATGCCAGCTCAACGTTATGGTTTGCGTATTTCGAGTCTTTCTGACAACACTGGAGCGGAGGCTGGAGCCAACTCTTTATTCACCACAAAACTTCCTCTTGCACTCTTTTTGGAAAAGTTATGTATCACGGCAACAACTACTGGTATCCAACTGGATGTATCCCACATCAGTGGCAAGGCCAATGAATTGGCTGACGCAATTTCTCGATGGAATTTCAATGAAGATCCGCCACGTGGTGTCGACATACATCACCGAATTCGATTTAGCTTAGGTGATTTGTCGTTAGGTTTTCCGCGACCTGCAGTATTTCCCAGTCACACTTCCCTGTCTTGGTCTCTGCCTTCCTGATGTCCCA